ATACAGTAACAACAAGCCTTGGTTCACAGCTAAACTCAAGCAGCTATGTTGTACCAAAGAGGAAGCATGCAGGAAAGGAGATAGAATGCTGTACAAGGGAGATCAGAGCAGCAAAAAGAAGCTACTCTGAAAAGCTAAAGAATCAGCTTTCAACAGGAAAAATCCTGGACTGTGCTGAGATGGATAAATTAACAAAAGAGATAAAAGAAAAGAAAGACATAGAGTACTATTTAATATAGAATAAGTGGCACGACTGGTTGGAGACTAGAAATAATAGAGGAGAATAAATGTGGAAAGGCCAAAAGTGGAAAATGTGTGTATAATAATGTATAATAATAATAATATGTATTATTTTTAGTATGAAGTATAGTATGAAGGAAAAAAAATGCAAACAAGAAACAACGGGACAACAAGGACAAATATATCTAAAGAAGAATAAGGGGGGAAAATGTAAATAATAGAAGATTACCATTACGAAATTGCTGTAAAAAAAAAGGAGTACACACTGTGTATGTATGTGTATTATGTTGTGTTTTGTCTTGTTTTGTTGGTTTGAAAAATAAAAAATTATAAAAAACAAGAATCAGCTTTCAACAAATGAACCAGCAAAAATGTGGAAGACTCTTAAAAATATCACTGGTTACAGCAAACTTTTCCATGCTGAAATGGAATCAACAACTAGCAGATGACATGAATGTGTTTTACTGTAGGTATGAGAGGAAACCACTGTCACCTATCCACCATCTCCATCTCAGATACACCAACTACAGCCAAGCCTCCTACAACTGACCCCGTCCCTTTGGGCCCCGAACCTCTGGTGATCACAGAAAACAATGTGCAAGGTCTATTTCACAGAAAAAAGCCTGGAAAAGCACCAGGTCCCGACAAGATAACCCCTTCTTGCTTGAAAGCTTGTGCTGACCAACTGGCCCCCCATCTTCACCTGCATCTTTAATAATTCACTAGAGATGTATTATGTTCCTTCTTGCTTCAAATGCTCTGCTATCATCCCAATGCCAAAGAAACCTTCCATCAACGTGGATTCGCTGTTAGACTCCTTGCAATTTGCCTACCAAGCAAATAGATCGGCAGATGATGTTGTTAATATGGCTCTGCACTACATCCTACAATATCTTGAATCTCCAAGGACCTATGCAAAGGTCCTTTTTTTGACTTCAGCTTGGCATTCCAGAATTCTTCTAACTAAACTAATTCAGCTAGTTGTGCTTGATCCTACACTTATAAATGGATCATAAGATTTGTAACAGACAGGAAGCAACAGGTGAAGCTAGGCAAAATCACATTCGATACCTGTACAGTTAGCACAGCCCCCCCCCAGGGCTGTGTGCTTCTTTTCACTTCTCTTGTCTCTCTACACGAGTGGTTCTCAACTTTCCTAATGCCGCGACCCTTTAATACAGTTCCCCATGTTATGGTGACCCCCAACCATAAAATTATTTTCACTGCTACTTTATAACTGTAATTTTGCTGTTTTGAATCGTAATGTAAATATCTGATATGCAGGGTGTATTTTCATTGTTATAAATTGAACATAATTAAAGCATAGTGATTAATCACAAAAACAATATAGCAATGCTTGCTGGAGAAGCTTACTCTTCCTTGCTCAAAAATGTTGGGAGGGAGGGAAGGGGAAGGAAGGAAGATTGAAGAGGAAAGGAAGGAGATGGAGAAGGAAGGAGATTGAAGGGGAAAGGAAGGAGATGGAGAAGGAAGGAGATTGAAGGGGGAAGGAAGGAAGGAAGGAAAGAAGGAAGGAAGGAAGGAAGGAAGGAAGGAAGGAAGGAAGGAAGGAAGGAGAGATTGAAGGGGAAGGGATGGAGATGGAGATGGAGATGAAAGGAAGGAAAGAAGGAAGATTACAGGGGAAAGGAAGAAGATGGAGAAAGAAGGAGATTGAAGAAGGAAGGAAGGAAGGAAGGAAGGAAGGAAGGAAGGAAGGAAGGAAGGAAGGAAGGAGAGAGATTGAAGGGGAAGGGATGGAGATGGAGATGGAAGGAAGGAAGATTGAAGGGAAAAGGAAGGAGATGGAGATTGAAGGGGGAAGGAAGGAAGGACAGAGAGAAAGATTGAAGGGGAAGGAATGGAGATGGAAGGAAGGAAGGAAGGAAGGAAGATTGAAGGGGAAAGGAAGGAGATGGAGAAGGAAGGAAATTGAAGGGGAAAGGAAGGAAGGAAGGAAGGAAGGAAGGAAGGAAGGAAGGAAGGAAGGAAGGAAAGATTGAAGGGGAAGGGAAGGAGATGGATGGATGGAAGGAAGGAAGGAAGGATTGATTTTTGGAGAGTCATGTTTTCCCAGATGGTGATGAACTGCAATTCCCAGCATTCCCCACTCTTCCACAGTGCTTTTTAGGACTGCTGGGGATGGTAGTCTGGAGCCCCACATCCTCATCCCGGCACCTCTTGCCCTCTCCCAGCTGCCCCCCCAGGACCTGCCTGCCCCTCCAGCCTCCTGAGCACCATCGCAGCGGCGGGATCGTGGGAGCCCCTTTCCATGCCGTGCAGCCCTTCACTGCCACGACCCTTCCCCGACTTGTCACACACGAGAGGGGTGCGGCCAGAGCGCCGCTTCTCTTCTCCTGGCCCATCCGGCTGGCCTCTGACACACATGCGGGCATTGCCCTCGTCCCCGCCGCCTGGCTGCTTCCGAGGCCCGGAGCCCGGCGAGCCGGGAAGGAGTCGCTCCTGCCCACCAGCCCCAGGGCTGCGCCGGGCACCAGAGGGCCGAAGTGGCCTCTCACGGTGAGGGTGGCGGGCCGGGCAGTGCGGGGGAAGCTCCGGCACAGCGCGGAGGGCAACCGCGGGCAGAGCACAGCCAGGCAACCAGGAGGCGTGGGGACCGGCTCGGCGCCACAGCTCAGCTCAGCCAGCAGCGGCGGAGCAGCCCAGCAGCAGCGCCAGCAGCGGCCCAGACCCGGCTCGGACCGGCTGCCCACAGAGCTGAGCCGGCCCGGGGCGGTGTCGGGGGTGCATGTCAAACCCCTGGGCTTGCCATGAGCCAGGAGACAGGGAGGACGCAGCCAGCAGCCGGTCGACGCCCACATGGCCCCAATGAGCACCGCCCGACTCCCGACAGTCAGCTGGGAGTCAGGTCGGTGTCCGGACATTGGTGGGGAACCGGCGGGGCCGCTACACACCACCCGGCTCCTGACAGCCAGTTGAGAGTCGGCCCGGTATGCGCATGTCGGCCTGGCTCCTGGGAATCAGCTAGGAGTCGGCCCGGCTCCAGGCCAGCAGCTGGGAGTCAGCATGGCCGCCGCGGGATGGCACTGCGGCGGCAGGAGCAGGCGCTGTCGGAGGAGAAGGGCGCCCTGGAGGCGGAGGAACTGGCGGAGGAGGAGAAGGGCGGCTGGATAGAAGAGCAGTGTCTTGGTTCCTAAGACCATTGGAAATATGTGTTTTCCGATGGTCTTAGGCAACCCCTGTGAAAACGTCGTTCGACCGCCAAAAGGGTCGCGACCCACAGGGTGAGAACCACTGCTCTACACCAACTACTGCATCTCAAAGGATCCCTCTGTTAAAGTATTGAAGTTTGCAGATGATACAACAATGATTGGTCTCGACAAATTTGCATACAGACAGGAAGTTGAACTAGTCTTGTGGTGCGGCCGGAACAATCTTGAACTGAACACACTCAAAACTGTAGAAATGATAGTAGATTTTAGGAGAAACCCTCCTATTCTACCATCTCTTACAATGCTAGACAACACAGTATCAACAGTTGAGACCTTCAGGTTTCTAGGTTCTATAATATCTCAAGACGTAAAATGGACACCTAACATCAAAAATGTCATCAAAAAAGTATAACAAAGAATCTTCTTCCTGTGCCAACTCAGAAAATTATTTGTCTCATCTTTCCCATTATCTATCTCTGTATTTTTTTATGACTATAACTTTGTTGTTTGTATCTTACGATTTATATTGTTTAATTTAGTATCCTAGTATGATTTATGTTGCTTGCTTATTTCGTATCCTATGACTATCATTAAGTGTTGTATCTTATGATTTATGATGAATGTATTTTTATGATTGTAATCATGATTTATCATTTGTTGCTTGTATGTACACTGAGAGCTTATGCACTGCAGACAAATTCCTTGTGTGTTTAATCCCACTTAGCCAATAAAGAATTCTATTCTACTCTAAAAAAAAAAAAAAAAAAAACACGTATGCATTAGCTCTGGCTGGGGGAGTATTACCCCATCCAGGTAAGAGTCAGAGACAGAATATCTCCAGATTGGGGATGCCTTCTAGTAGTGATCTAGAAAAGATGTCTTGGCAAGGAAAAGTTTGCCATATTGACAGCACCGTTTTATGAATTTTATTCAGGAATTCATGCGTTCAATAAATTTTATTACTTTATTAACTTACAAGTACAATCTTCTAATAATAAAACTTATGAAATAAGTTTTATATGTGTGTGTATTTGAATTAGTCCATTTAAAATGTCCATTTAATCATATTGGACTTTCTCATGACCTTCTTCTACCGGACTATTATTGAAAGCGTTCTCACACACTGTACTGTGGTTTGGTATTCTGGCTTGACAGCCACGGACAGGAAGGTATTACAGAGGGTGGTGAGCACGGCACAAAACATCATGGGCTGTTCCCTGACACCACTGGATGACATTGCCAGGGCCCGTTGCCTTGGCAGAGTGAGGAAAATTCTCAGGAATGACTCACACCCTGGTTGGTACCTCTTTACTCTCCTACCATCGGGTAGGAGATATAGAAATATATGCAGCCGTACCAACAGGCTGAAGAACAGCTTCTATCCATGGGCTGTCAGCCTCTTGAATGGGACATAATTTTATGCATGATAGACTCATGAGGCCAGCGTGCTGTGCAATTAGCTCACAGGGGGTAATAGGTTGGTGGGTTTGTAGTCACTGTGAGTTGTGGGGGGGGGTACAGAGCGAGGCTCAGCCAATCTCATTGTATACATGTTATACTTTGATAATAAAGTATATTCACTCTTACTGGTTTTCCAAGGATGACGAAGCAAGTAGGCTTGGACAAAAGGAAGACTCTGTCAGCTTCATCTTCATCATATATATCTACAAACGGGTAAGGTTGTTCATCTTCTGGAGATGCCATCATTCAATCTATATTTAAAAAATAGGGTTATATATTAAGATCACCACTACTTTTTACACCTGCAGCTAATAGCAAGTAGCTGATCTTGGCTGATCCAGAAAAGGAAAAAGAGGGTTTTACCTAGACTTTGTACGAGAGACAATTAGAAAATCCTATAGCTATACAGACTATACTAAGATCCCCAAAATAATAGTAAAACAAAAATAATAATCCCGAAAGAAAGTAACAGCACATTACTTCTGCAATAAAAGCTCCCTTTTCCCAACCCTGTAGTTTCTACATTGCTGACAAGAAAACCTATGGAGGTGTCCAAGCAGACAACAGGCATCAGTTCAACTAACAGGCACCTACCTATAATCTGTGAGCCTCATAAATATATTGCTGCCATGTGAATTGCAGCAAAAAAAGCAGTTTGGTAAAGTTTTCCTGTGCAGCCAGATTTGCCAACAGCCTCTTCCTAGAATTATTTACCAGTCCCATGGAGTATGATGACTAATAGTAAATTTGAGCTGTTATTTATTTTTTCCAAGTAAAAGCCCTTCTTGAGTGCACTGACCAAAAAGCAAGGTAATAATATGGTAAATGAGTGACATTTCCCACCCCCAACAATCATAGAGTGGTACTTCATCCACTCTTGACAATCTTGACTAAGACGCGTGGGGCGGCACAAATAAGTTGGATGAAATCATTTTCACGGGTATTGCCAGCACAGGACACGGATAAAGGGCCGCCCAGGGAAGACTTACTGCAGGATGAGGTCAAGCGGGGCTTTGCCGCTTCACTTTGGCAACAGCAACGAGATGAAAGCTCCGCTGTGATTTGTGTTCCCCCGTAACCATGGAGATAATGCCCTCCCTCTTCTCTCCCAAGGAATCGCCCCCGCTCGCTTCACCCAATCAACGGTCCCTGCACGACCCCTCCCACAAAAGAGCCGGTTAACAGCCGAGCGCGAGGGATCCTCCCACCTGTAGAATGCTTAGGGGGCGTCGTTAACGGTTTTAAACGTTTTAAAATAACCGACTTTTAGGGGAATTCTCAGCTTCTTAAGGAGCTGATCCTTGATGGCAGTTATTGTGTGGGTTAAGCGGGCGCAACTGACTTGAAGCCCCAGCATCAGCTTGTAATGTTGCCAACGACGGAATCCCTCATTTGCTCAGTGGCTTCAGTGAGGGTCGAGGGGCAACGTTATGCATACAACGCGGGGGAAGTCTCGCTGATTTCTCGGAGCCTGATTGCTTGGTGTGAATATTTAAAACTCCTTTCCTAAAGAAAAAAGAAAGGGGGGAGGGTTATGAAAGCTGAAAAGTCAGTAGTGCTCGCTATATAGCTTCAATGCCTGTGATTTGAATTCTGCCTCAACAGAGTATTAGTCTCAGTGGGCAGGAATCTTAATTCAGCCGCGTAAGGTGCTCCTAGGAACAGAGGGATGAAACTTCATGCAAACGATGACGTGGATTTTCATCCACGAAAGCTGAAATCCTTTAGGAAAAGAAAAGAGTAAAACTTGTGTCCTACAAGTTACTACCACCAAGGTAGATTTCCTAGATTCCACTCGCCAATAGCGCGAGCAGAGGATGAAAAAAAAAAAAAAAAACAACGGGGCGTTTTGCTCTTTGGCTTACAATCCCCGCTTCAAAATTTCCCCTGTTCCGGGCAAGAACCGGTATCATTCCCAAACCCAAAATGGCCGCGGCGCCGGCAAATTCAATCACGTGGGTTTTTGCGCTTTCCTTAGCTGTCACTCTCTCGCGATCTTGCTCGGTGTTGGCGGAACAGTCACCTACTCTCGAGGGGGAGATGGGGGGGGAAATCCTCTGTTTCTTCGGCACCTAATCGACCCTTCCTCGTAGGGTCCGTCGCCGATCGAGTAAAATAGAGAAGAAAATGAGTTCACGCGGCCCGCATTTATCTCGAGCTGTAGCTTAGCTAAGGCCAAGCCTGTCCTCAAAAGGAGGAAGGGGCGTTATAGGACAGGTGGGAGCTTTCCCGGGTGGCTGAGTGTAATCCCCTCTGCTGTGTTACCATGCCTGTGGCGGCTCCGATCATCAGCTCTGTGCAAAAACTGGTGCTGTACGAAACTAGAGCTGTAAGTAACCCCCACAGCGCCCTCTGCTTCCTTACTGTTTTGCCATTGATTGGGGTCCTGATAGGTTTTGGTCTGAGGAAAGCGGAAGAATCCTGCTTATTCCCATTAAACAGAATAAGTCCCCTAAGTGCAGGTTTTAGTCTGACTAGTGGATTTCTACAGTGTCCAGTATAGAAGTTTTGTTTTCTGCCTTACAAGGAGCGCAGCCCATTACACCATGGCTGGAGTAATCGGAATTTGCTAATCTATCATTTTCCAATGAATACCTATTAATTACCATACCATACTATGGAGAGCTACGTGGAGCCACTTTTGGAACCGTAGAAGAGTAACCAGGAAAGAATACTGGGATGAGTTGTATTGGCTTGAAGTTGTATTGGATTTTGAGGCCTAGTAAACTGGATAGGTAGCTAACTGCAACCTATATATTTAGAGCTAGCAGGTACAAGTGGAAGGACCTTGGCTATTGTCATACCTAGGTGCAGCTTTGTCAGAAGCACAACTTTTTGCAGTTGTGTTTCCACATGTTAAGCCAACATGCTTGGTTAATGAGCACAGGAGATTTAGCAGCTTTCCTCTTCCTAGAGCTTGTTTACTATATTTTAACCAAGATAAAATCTGTCATCAGAAAATGGGAGCCATTTCAAGTTTAGATAATATGCTAATTAGATAATATGTTGAAATGCAATCTCAGTGAAGGCAGAGAATAAGATGCTGATGCATGCCATTCACTGGAATATTTTTTTAGCAAGTCATGTAAAGAGAATCTCAAATCCCTGACTAAATTAAATCCTTGGTCTGATGTAGATAAGCTTTTCTTTAAGTCTTATTTTTTTCTCACTGTAGAAAAAATGATGGAAGTCTGCATCAGCTGTTTTTCTCCAGAACAGCTGGCTAGTAGGCAATACATTCCAGGTGGAGATATTGATCAGTACTATACTTTGGAACATCTGTTGTAAGAAAAGTGAACTTTAAAGTGAATGTTTCAGTATCCATTGAGAATATATCGGCAATCTGTGAAGTCTCCTATCTGTTCAATCCTCTTAGATAGCACCTTTCTTGAATGCAGAATTGTTCTGGTATCTAAGTATTCATGACCCACTGCCCAGAATTGGCTGAGCTACTGTACTTGTATTTAAGGAATTAATGCATAACTTTTTGAGAGTCTAAATGGGGCAAGAAAAGATTTTATGGGAACAAAGAAAAAGTGTGATATTAAATTAACAAATATATGTTGGGTAACTTGAGTTAAGATTTCTATCCTATGCAGTATTTTGAATAATGGAAGCACGCAATTCCTGAAAAGTGCTTGGATTTATGTTTTGGTAATGATTGATATAATGGATACATTAATCCACTTTTTCAATATCAGGAAATTATTTAAATGTCTTGAAGTCTGCCAGCAAATTATATGTTGGATACTACCTGAGTAATAAACTCCAAATCCATTATTTGGCAAAGTTAATGTATGGTAGTTAAAAATATTTGTAGGATTTATATTGAATATCTTATTTCTGGTTTGCCCTCTGAAATAAATTCCCTCGAACTTTGCAAAAGTCTAACCCGGCAAAGGTTCTGCAAGTCTTTAAAATACAGCTTTGCTCCCAGGTGATTTTGGTGAAGTATTTTAGGTACTTCTTGTCTTAATATATATTATATATCCTTTTAAATCTTATAAATAATGGCCTTTAAAATTCTACTTTTTTCAGATGCAAATCAGAATGTTGCCTATGGTTTGCAATAGATAATGGTAATTCTGTAATCAAAAACATCTGAAAAAAATACAGCAGAAATAAGCATCTATATACAATTTTGTACTTTGTTGACTTTTCATATATTTTTTAAAGTTCCCTGTTGTTTAGCAAAAGCTAGTCTGATAATATTGGAACCCACTTTAAAATGTTTTCTGTTATCCTTTTTAAAAAAGGTTAAGATGATCTTGGGTCATACATCTGTTCAATTAATACAAAATGTTTTCATTTAGAAATTATAAGCAATGGTCAGTTGTTTGGCTTTGGCTTTATTTTGTACATTATTGCTAAATTAGTGCAGATTGAAGGATGTAATAAATATATTTAGAAATGGATCATACTAGAAACAGCGGAAAAGGGAGCCACAGTTTATTTGGGATTATTGTATCATCTGTTTATTTGATACAAATGATTGTATTGTTAAAGCTAAAAATTATACTTAACCCAGGGATTCTCAACTGGGAGTCATGACTGCAATAAGCAAAGGGGGAGGAGGGGTGAGAGGACTAGGCAAAATTGGATGCTGTCAAAATTCATTTGTACTTTGCCTGGTAAGCCTGCAGAAAGATTCTGCACAATAAATGGGGAGCAAAAGCCAAAATGAGTTTTGAGAGATGATTGTTAACATACTGCTAATGTGCACTTTCCATGCGGAGAGTCAAACAATTGTTTATTTAAGGAATGGCACTATTGCAATGTTGATAACCTCTGGTTTAAACTATAAAGATTCATCCCAAAGGTGCTTTTTTGAAAGGCAACTGGACTTTTTTTTCTTTTTCCTTAAAGATGTTTTGCTTCTCATCCAAGAAGCAAAATTCTTCCCTTTTGACTAAATGGTGGAGACTGGTTTATCTTCCTTGCAAGAAAAAGCACCTTAGGGGCAACCAAGACTTGGATGGCTGAGAATCGTATTATGTAATCAGTATAGCATAAAATGCTGTGTTTTACAATGTGGGGATTAGTCCTTCTGCAGTCACAATACTGCAGGATTCGTACCAGTCAAGATAGTTAGATAATATTTAACTTCTCTTGAGACCTGGGCTTTAGTATAGTATGTTCAGCTCTTGTTAAATCTTCCTGTCCTAGGACATTTTATTTTTTTTTAAAAAAAGTTTTAATAAATAAAGGAAAATCCTGTATCTCAGACATGTCAAACCCGTGACGTCACGTACGTCGCATGACGTATTGGAACTTTTCCCCCATTGGCGGCAATGGGGTGAGTGCGGTTGCCTCGTAACGCATCCGGCCTGTGGGCCGGCAGTTTGACACCCCTGCTGTATCTCAAGAAGTGAAATAAATCCAAGGACAACAAAGCAGAAGATTTTGCTTTTAAATTTGGGGAGTGTGGCTTACAGGAATAATGTAATATAACTACTTCAGTTAGCCATTGCATTACAGATAGTCCTTGACCCATAACCATTAGTTTAGTGGCCGTTTGAAATTGCAACGGCACTGAAAAAAGTGATTTACGACAGGTTTTCAAACTTAAAATTGTTGCAGCATTCCCATAGTCACATGGTCAAAATCCAGGTGCTTGGCAACTGGCATGTAGTTATGCACTGTCCTGGGGTAATGTGATCACCATTTGTAATCTTCCTAGCCAGTTTCCGATAAGCAGAGTCAATGGAGGAAGTAATTCCATCCACTGGCCTTTCAAATTTTATTTTGTTGTATCTCCTGTGATATTGAGTTATCTAAAAAAAGAAATTCTTCTCATTATGCCTTTTTGCTACAAGCAATAGCACTTAGACTTATATACCGCTTCACAGTGCTTTACAACCCTCTCTAAGCCATTTACAGAGTGAGCATATTGCCCCCAACAATCTGGGTCCTCATTTTACTGACTTCGGAGGGATGGAAGTCAACCCTGAGCCGGTGAGAAACGAACTGCCAAACTGCTGCAGTACTGCATTCTAATCATGGGTTCTTCAGCGCCACCATGGCTCTTCAAAGCAACTAAGTTGCGTCATAGAAATTATTTCTTTTCTTTTTATCTTTCATTTGCCAGAAGGAAATTAATCTATTGCATAGACCAGTGGTTCTCAACCTTTTTAATGCCGTGACCCCCAACCGGTCGTAAGTCAAGGACTATTCAACCGGTCGTAAGTCGAGGACTATTCAACTGGTGCAGCACCGTTTGCAGAATGGGACTTTTGGCGGGCTCAGCAGGACAGAGACAGCCTGGACAATTCCTATTGGCTTTCAAAAGCCAATAGAATAAAAGGGAGTAGCACAGCTAAGGAAAAGGGAAAAAAAATGGCGGACTGTGTTGTTTGGTGACCCCCGTGAAATGGTCGTTCGACCCCAAATGGGGTCCCAACCCACAAGTTGAGAACCACTGGCATAGATGGATTAGGGAGAGACCAAATGACTCACCCCTTGGAAGATAGGTGAATGCTGTAGTAATTATAAGCAGCTACATTGGGATATTATCCTCAAATTGGGATATTTGATCCTTTGGGGCTTTATAGGTTTTTTTCCTGAAAGCTAAGGGTGCAATCCTAAATATGTTGGGGATAAGGTCCATGAAATTCAATTGGATTCATTTCTGAAGCAAGTTAATATATGCTTCATTAGTATGATGAAAACACTTTGTAAAAACAATCTATCATTCCTGACTCTTTAGTGTTCCTTGTATAAAAACAATTTATTTTCTTCCAATATTTTTGTCAAATCATACATCTAGTACAATTGGTAGGATGTCATTTTTTACCTCAAAATTTTTAGAATGATTAGAATCACAAATGGTGTTAACTGATTGCTATTAATGTATCAAAGTTGAAGTCAATAATTACTTAAAATAGAATGTGGTAGTTAGGACAGTTTATTAAAAATGTAAAATGTATATTTTTAAAAAATCAGGATGATAAATTATATTTGAAGAGTATTGTTAATAGAAGAATTGATTGAACTACTGTAAATGGGATGAACTTCATTCTTGTAAATGAAAGATCATGTCAATATAATCGCACGACTTGCAGTAAGTTAACTATTGTTTTACTGTTTATTCTTTTCTTTTCTTTTTTACATCCCCAGCGATATTTTCTTGTTGGAAGCAACCACGCAGAAACCAAATATCGTGTTTTGAAAATCGATCGTACAGAACCCAAGGATTTAGTTGTTATTGATGACAGGGTGAGTATTTCAACATTTGAGATGTTACTATTCAAAAGAAAATATAAGAATTCAATATGCTATTGCATTGGATTTAAGCTGCATTTAAGTTCTCTACCTTTTTCTTTTTATTACTTATTTTCATAACATTAATTTATCTTGTTTTACATGGGTTCCTAATAAATGAGTTAAGCAACAGCAAATAAATTGTTTGGAGAGAAAGCTTGATTATAAGGAGGAACAATTTCTGAATAAACCCTGATAGTGTTTATTCCTTTGAAAGAGCTCCTTCAGGTGAAGAAAGGTCATCTTTGGGTAAAGCTCAGTTGGAAACCATGTGTTAGGTTCATTTTTTTTTTTTTTGCTCTAAAAGGGAAATTAATGAATTTCATCTCCCGTGGAATAGTAATAAGCCAGTATTTGCGCCAGGAGGGATTCTTATTTTTCCTAGATTGTGGTTCTGAGTTAATTTTACCAGAGTCATATTATTCAAAATAAACTCCCAATTTTTCTTACTAATCTCCTCCCCCAAAGTATATTACAAAGGTATTTGGGGGGGGGGTTGGAACTTTGGGAGAAAATATAAAACATTTTGAATTTTAGGCAGCATTTTTTTTTTTACCTTACTATAAAGATAAAATTCTAGATTTCCTTTCCAATATTTACAGTACATATATGCTAAAAAGGAATGCTTCTTCCTTTTGTTAATTTTCATCTCTCCCCCCCCCCCCCGTTCCATACATTTGTATGTGGGACTAAGTATATATATATGTATGTATGTATGTATGTATGTATATGGTGAATGTTATAAGACAAAGGAGCAACATAAGCAAGGGAGAAAGTAGTAATAAGATTGAAATAAAATAATCCTTAAACTGTCAATGGTAATCAAACTTGCATATATTTGTGTATGTATACACAAATATATATACACACCCACGCATTTACATATAAACAAGTACATAGTGTCACATACCTGTGTCCAACATTTATTGGGTTGATAGGCTTATTTGAAATTTTGGGAGCCATCAAAATTCTCAGACAATGCCTGCCATGTGATGAAATACTTTGCTCATTCATAAAATAGTCACTATGGGCAAAATAATTAACCATGGAATATTGGTTTTTTCCAAATATTCCCTGCCACTTGTACTAGCCTACTTCTCAGGATGCTGTGTGGCAACACTGCATCCCATTATCTCTCTTCTGGCAAATCACCCTTAAAATGTCCCTTGCATTTCAATTTCTTTAACAATGCTTATCAGTCCCACTTGGGGTCAGAGGGATTCTTTGAAAAAAAGATAACGTTATAAATTGGTACATTTGATTTGAGTAGAATAGCCTCCCATTAAAAATGCTACTTTAAAAAATAATAAATGTATAAAAATGATGTGAGACAAGAATCATTGATTGTCTACAATCCTGATGGAAACTTGGCTCACGGTTGATTCAGGCTTCCATCCTCCGAGGTTGGTAAAATGAGGGTCCAGATTGTTGGGGGCGGGCAATACGCAGATTCTGTAAATCGCGTAGAGAGGGCTATAAAAGCACTGTGAAGCGGTATATAAGTCTAAGTGCTATTTGCTCTTATCAACATATCTACATATAATACAGGTAGTTCTCAACTTACAACCACAATTGAGCCCAAAACGTCTGTTGTTAAGTGAGAGATTTGTTAAGTGAGTTTTGCCCCATTTTTCGACTTTTTCCTGCCCCAGTTGTTAAGTGAATCACTGCAGTTGAAAAGTTAGTAACCCAGTTGTTAAGTGAATCTGGCTTCCCTATTGACTTTACTTGTGAGGAGGTCGCAAAAGGTGATCACATGACATAAGTCACATTTTTCAGTGCCGTTGTAACTTTGAATGGTCACTAAACGAACTGTTGTAATTTGAGGACTACCTGTACTAGAAAGATTCTTAGTATTGTTATGCCTTTATTGGCAAATCATATCAAACAAAGGTAACTGCTGTCCCTGTGCGCATGCAAAATAGGTTCCTCTGCCCTAGGAAGGTGACTGAAACAGCTGTGTAGAAGTTAACAGTGAAGTTTTTAATTCATTCAGAAATATTTAGATGACTATACATTTTCATTTTCAAGCATGTATATACCCAGCAAGAGGTGAGAGACCTACTAGGCCGTTTAGATCTGGGCAATAGGACAAAAATTGGACAAAAGGGCTCATCTGGATTATTACGTGCTGTCTCTGCTTTTGGGATAGTAGGTAAGTTACTTTATTTTTTATTAGCTTGTTTTGATAACGGCCAAGGCACTGCAATTATGATTTTGGACTTAAGCACAAAACACACGTATGAAGCAAAATTCAAACAAAAGCTCTGCAAATCAGGATAGGCTAATAATTTGGAACAGTTATGTGGATTTGAAATTTTTGTGGATCAGTGGCATCTTAGAAATCTCTCTTAATTTACCCTTGAAATACAATTCATACCATATAAAATACTTGATTTTGTGTTTGTATGTGCTTGTTTAAATAAATAGATAAATAAAATTTTAGTTTGCTTTTTAGCACAACAAATTATATGATCGCTAATATTAATGGCAAAAAATATGTAGATTTTTTTTAAGAGTTTAAAGACAGAACAGCATCAAAGCAGATGCAAAATATTTACACTCTCAGTAAAATATAGCAGACTTTACTGTACTTAAAGGCTACTGGTGATACATAACAGTGTGTGATGAGAAAGCAAATAGATTTTTACTTTTCCTCTTGGACCCTGGTGAATTAATTGATATTGAATTATCACTTAATACATCTATAACACAATAAAAATATATTTCACATTTCAATAAAAATAGTTCCTAATATCCTTTTCATTTATGAAGAAAACATAAAGCTAAACATAAACCTTCATTTATAACAGAATCAAAAGCTAAAACTTTGACTAGAGAGGCTGTGACATTTATTTATGAGAAACAATGAAAAAAAATAACATTTATAGTCTAGTTAAAAAAAACCAGAAGGATTGTTTTTTTATTTTTTAAAGTCTGTGCTCAACTCTTCAGAATTAAAAGTCTCAATTCTAAAAAAAGAATGCAAACAACATTCGAAAAAATACTTTTCCCAAAGATAAGAATTAAGACGATAAGCTCAGAACCAGTATAGATATTAACATTTGAAATATGAACCACAGTAGTTGATAATCAACTTATATCTTCTTTTTCAGACTAGACATGCTCTTATGAAAGACTTTATTGCTCAGTCCAATACTGTTTTTGAGAAGTTGGATAGTGAAAGGTTTTACATACATACACTTATAGTACAATGACTAATTTCTTGAGACTGATGCATAAAGTATTTATTTATGATAAAGTTAACAGTCTAACTTTCTTCAAGAGCTACAAAGTAGCACTAATTGTCAAGAACACCTAAAAACGCCTTTTCCATATGTTCATGCCAATGTATATCCCTCTTTACTGTCACAAGTAGCATGACCTGGAAATAACTGCTATTATAAATTAATGGCATCTTCTTCTATAGTCTGGAATGGAAGGGTAAAAGCCATGAGTACCACTTGCTTATTATTGAACTACTGATTTGTGAATTCTCACAAGAACTGCTGTCAACAAGAATGCAGATTTACTATGAAAATTTTAGTGGCGACTGGAAAAGCAGCTGTTATGCAATTACATATTGTTGCTCAAGAATCCCATAAGATACTCAATGAATGTTTATTGTTCAACTGGGACTGTGAAACAAAGAAATAATTGGGCATCTGACAGACCATAATGGAAGGCCAGTAAACTGTATTGTGCTTGATGCATCATTATCTAGACAGGGATAATTTGTATTGAAAGATCAGTCTGAACCCAATTCTGCATGTATATCTTGTTTTTCTTTGTGCAATTCACCATGGCTTAGAGTGGGAATAGGCACAATGATGAACCTTAATGTCTGTCATAACTGAAAGAAGCTGTGCTTGACACAGTAGCATGGAGAACCTTGCTTATAAAGTCACTAAGAGTCAAACATAACTGAATGTTTAAAACAATAACAATGTTTGTCAGCTTCAATGTGGGCAAATAAGGGGAGTTCTCCAATGTGTACAGTTACAGATTGCCCATTTTTAACTTAAAGGCTCCAATATCTCCTGTTCATTTAAAAAGAAACCATTATTTTTGCAGAACTCCCCTTATTTGCCCACATTGAAGCTTTGCATATAACACTTAAGAAATCTGACTCAAGATGGCTTCTAAAAATATTTAAATATGAAGACAGCATCATTACATTTTCAGCAGCAGAAAAGTATAACATTAGTAATGCAGTTTTCTAGAAGTAAATAATGGTACTATGACACCAATACTACAAGGTTATTTTCTTCCATAATTCTTAGGAAAACAATGCCAGGTACACTTTTAAAAAGCAGGCACAGAGACACAATGTCAGAAATAATGAAGAAAGTAATGAACTACATTTTTGCCTACTCAGCTGTGTGTAAAAACACATGATTTTTTTCCATAATAAATTTGCAATAACAGTATTTTCTAAATATGAAACTAAAAATATTGATTATTGATTATATTTTTTAAATCTGCGGATCAGTTTTTGCTTTTCCAGGTGGGGTTTACTCATGCTGCATTTCGAATAATGACAACTGTGTTTCTCTGAAAATAAGACCTGGTGCCTCTTTTTTTTTGCCTCCAAAAGAGGCACCAGATCTTATTTTTTTTGGGGGGGGGGTATCTTTTGCACTCTGACACTAACAGCCCCGCCCAGCCAGCCCACTTCTTCTGTGGCCAAAGGAGCAGCTTCATTCTGCAGCTGAGAATGGAGCTCCGGCCTACATTTCGCAGTGAAAGGCCTTTCCGGAAGGCCACTGCAGCCGAAAACCGAGCTATGAATTCAATCCATAGCTTGGTTTTCAGCTGCAGGGGCCTTGCAGAACTGAGCTATGGATTGAATCCATAGCTTGGTTCTCCGCTGCAGTGGCCTTCCAGAAAAGCCTTTGACTGTGAAATGCAAACCTGGAGATGCTGTAGAAGAAGTGGGCTGGCAAGGAGAGGCCTGGCTGCAAGGTAAGTGGGTGCAGGGCGCGAGGGGCAGCTCCACCCCCCCACCCCTGCCCTAGCTTGATTTTTAAGCATGTACCTCACCCCAAAACTAGGGCTTATTTTGGGGGTAGGGCTTATATTAGGCCAACCCCGCAAAGTCAAGCTAGGGCTTATTTTCGGGGCAGGTCTTACTTTTGGAGAAACACGGAATTATTAATTGCTAACACTTGGAGATACGTAGAAGATCTTCACTACTGCACTTCAATTGCTACCATACCTGTGTGCTATAATTCTGGCAGCTCTTAATTACTGTAGGAATCATTTTTACAAATATCATTTGTAAAAATGATCATTTTTATGTTTACAACATACAACTAGTTTAGGCAAATTAAGGAACTGACTATTTTCAAAGATTAATATGTATTCATCCCCTTAAACTGCTTTTATTTTTTACTTTTTAGTTGAAAGTCAAGATTTAAGAGCTAGTTACTCTATGGTTAAAGTTCTTTTTGATTATATGTGTATTTTTTTTATCCCAGAAGAAAATTATCAGGTTTATAAATAATATCAAAGCCTTTATACCTTGAACCACCGTGAGAATTGTAGCAGGTATAAGAGAAGCACTTTCAGCTTTCTGGAAAAAAAAAATGCCTGTTTCCTCCCTGGGAAGTTTAGAAAAGTATGCTGATGTTGCAATGAAATCAGAACATGAATTTCCAATCAGACAATTCTCAGATTAATATTATTTTATATAACTGATTCTTGTGTCATTATAGGAATTTATTTTATAAGACTTTTATTTTCTAAAAGCTAGTTTTCTTAATCATTTGTTTTTTAAAACTTATTTTACAATATTAAATCTTGTATGATGATGATAAAACTGTACTCAAATAAGCAGGGGATCATGGTCCGAGATGAAGAACTTGTTTTTGACAGGGAGAAGTGCGAATCAGGTATTACACATCAGTCATGCAAGAAGAGCAAGGCATCCAAAAAGAGAAGCCACCTTCTGGTTGGTGATTCAATTATAAGGGATGTAAATTTAGGAAAGGACACAGAGGTTTCAATAGAGGTCAGGTATCTTCCAGGTGCTACTGCCAGTAGGGACAAGAAGCGTATTTTTAAAATAGTCAAGAATGCCAGCTAGGACTGTGATGTGGATGCTATTGTATAGCTTGGCACTAACAATCTGTCCCCAAAAGATGTATCCTCTGTGCGGAATGATTTCCAGTGCTTGGGACAGGAACTTACCAGGATAGGCTGTAGGCTTACCTTTTCAGAGGTTTTACCAGTGTATAAGGAGCAAAATGGAAAAGGCCAGTGTATAGCAGAATTCAATATGTGGCTAAAGAAGTGGTATAAAAGGGAAGGCTTTGGTTATATTAGTCACGATGTCTGCAGCTGGTCCAATGGAAAAATGTACAAAAGAGATGGTTTGCATCCATCCAAGAAAGGGATTGAGTTACTTGGCAATAAATTCACAGATTTTCTGGAGGACTATTTAAACTAAACAATGGGTACAGTGAGTTAATTGATACAGAACATCCCTATCCCTGGCAATATAAAAATTATAGGGTTATCAGTGCATGTAACATAGATGTGTGTGTGGACAAGAATATCTTGCTGTCAAGCAAAATCAAGCTTTTAATAACGAATGCCACACAAAGTGAACTAACCAAACAGGTGGTAAGAAAATAGGGGAATTCAGGCACCATACAGGTTACGTAGAAAGTGAATACAGGGTCAGTCATAAAAGACTCAAATGTCTGTACATCAACGCACAGAGTATGAACAGTAAACAGGGTGAATTAGAAATTCAGGTTAATGAGGGCAGATATGATATTGTTGCCATTACGGAAATATGGGATGAAACCCACAAATGGAACACACAGCTAGAGGCATTTAAATTATTTAAAAGAAACAGACCAAATAAAGGAGGAGGTGGAGTTGCTCTATATATAAAAATAACTACATCTCTACAGAAATAGAGCACAACAAAGATGAAAACTGTCTTGAATGCATTTGGGTCAATATAAAAGGGGGGGAAATGACATTGCCGTAGGTGTATACTATAGGCCGCCAAAACAAACAGAGGAAATAGATGAACTTTTTGCTAGTCAGTTAACTAAAGTATGTAGGAAGCACATCACAATAGTAATGGGGGATTTTAATTACCCTGACATAACTGGGAGACAAACTCAGCACTGAGTGGAA